AACCATTGTTAACTTACTTTACCCTAACCCTTGGACTTATAGACCGACACGACTTATTGTATATAGTTCTGTTAATATCCTGTTAAAGTTTAAATTGTATGCCAACTCCACTTGTTGCGGTAGCATCTCCCTACCTATGGTATTTTGCTCAAAAAAAAAACCAAACAAAACAGAAAACGAAAAACAACGTTGTGCTCACCATAGGTTGAGCCAATTCCCTTAGGCAGGTGTCTCACATACAGGGCATGCTGATCCTAGGGGGCGACCTCAACACTTCATTGGATGGAGCACTAGACACTACATCTCAGGCACAGACTTACCAAATCTCAACACGTGTCCTTATCCAAAAACTCCTCGACTCCTACCAACTCTTTGACTGTTGGCGAGTCTTACACCCTACCGAATGAGAATACTCGTACTATTCATACTCCTCAGGCTCATACTCACGGATTGATTTGTTTCTCATGCCACATAGATTCTTGAACTTGGTCGGCTCATGGTCGGACCACGCGCCAATCTCTCTCACAGTCACGATCCCCTCCCTTCACCCCACCAGGACGCAATGGAAACTGAACGACACTTTACTCAATCACCCAGACATACGAAACATAATAGAGGAATCTCTAGGCCACTACTTTGAGCTCAACACGCATCCAGACTCCACTTCCCATAATCTGGGAAGCACATAAGAGTACAATAAGAGGTACATTCATCCAGGCAGCCTCTAGACTCAAGAAACAAAGGGAATCTCGCACACTAAGTCTCACCAAGGAAATCAGGAACTTGGAGCAGACACATAAAAACGACCTCAAACGATCCTTAACGTCAACACTAAACACGCCTTAACCAAAACGAGAAGCACATACTATGCACAAGGGGGTAAGTGTGGACGCCTTCTGGCTCACGCCTTAAAGAAGCAAAGGGAACACACATTCATTGCAGCCATTCGAAACAAAGAGGGAACACTATCACACTCAATGACAGACATTCTCAAAGAATTTAAAGAATTTTACTCCTCTCTATACAATCTGAGACAGACTCCTCCAGATGCAGCAGACATTCAAGAATTTCTCTCCCACAGGATACACAATACCCTGCCACATAATATACGGGACTCGCTAGAGCAACCCATCTCAAAAGACGAATGTCTACAAGCGATAAATCACCTACCATTAGGGAAGAGCCCAGGTCCTGATGGGCTGACAGCCAAATACTACAAGACATTCGCTTCCTTATTAGTACCTCACTTTCAAAACTCTTTCAACGCACTACTTAACACAAACACCCCCCACACGCCTCAAATGCAACAATCACACTAATTCCCAAGCCTGGGAAGGATCCGACCCAATGCGGCAGCTACAGACCGATCTCCCTGATAAACATAGACCTGAAGTTGTTCACAAAAATTCTAGCTAATAGACTCCGCCCACTATTACCAGGACTGATACACGCTGATCAGTCGGGTTTCATCCCAAGCAGAGAAGCCAAACACAACACCACGAAACTACTGAACCTCATGCACAAAGCCACGAGAGAGAACTGTCCCAGTCTACTCTTGTCCATTGATGCGGAAAAAGCGTTTGACAGGGTAGACTGGACCCTGCTATCTCACACCCTACAATACCTGGGATTTGGCCCAAGCTGGCTAAAATGGTTTAACGCGATCTACTTGCAACCCACGGCGAATATTCGCGTAAACGGTCAACTGTCAGAGTCAGTAAAAATAACGAACGGCACTAGGCAGGGATGCCCCCTATCACCTCTACTGTTCGTCTTGGTCCTAGAGCCCTTCCTTCAGGGTATCAGGGACAACACTCACATTAGAGGCATCAAGGCAGGCAAGACAGAGCATAAGATTGCAGCATTTGCAGATGACATGCTCTTCACAATTTCAGATGCCATAGCATCAATACCTCACCTGATGGCCGAGATGGACTCATACAGCAAGATTTCCAATTTCAAGGCAAATCTCAGTAAATGCGAGATATTGCCACTACACGTTACCCCTCAAGACAAGGCCACTCTACAACAAGAACACCGATTTATCTGGGCTCCCAGCAATATAAAATACCTAGGAATTCACTTAACCAAGGAGGCATCCCACCTGTTCGGGAGCAACTTCCCGGACTTGATGAAGAGCATAAACTCGGATCTCCATGCCTGGAACAAACCTCAATTTGGTTGGTTCTGCAGGCTGAATATCCTAAAAATGAATGTTCTCCCGAGAATACTGTATGTCTTCAGGTATTGCCAATCATGCTGCCGAAGTCATGGTTTGCGCAGGTTCGAAAGACACTTACAACATACATTTGGGCGCACAAAAACCCACGGCTCGCATATTCTCTCCTCACGAGATCAAAAGACGAAGGAGTCCTGGGCCTCCCCGACATAGAGAGATATCACCAAGCCATCCTACTGACTAGATTATATGACTGGACACACCCACACTCCGCTACACAATGGATTAATGTAGAGGATTCCTTCCTCAGAGCACCCATCTACACAATACCATGGCACAAATCTGGACAGTCACTCTTACTAGACGCACCCCATCCTACCATCTTACCAACCCTACGCATGTGGGCGAAACTGAGAACGCATCAATCGATATCCCCATACCCCTCACCACTTTATCCACTCACCCACAATCCCTTATTCCAGCCGGGAGAGGATGGTAAGGCATTCAAACATTACCATGACTCAGCCTATCTCCCACTAGAAACCATCATTGACGACACGAGTCGCCAAATCAAACCCCTGCATGCCATCACGGATAGGCAGAACGCGATACAACTTCTCCAATATCGACAGCTCACTCACTTTGTACATGCAGGTCCGCTAGCCCATGAACCATTCCGCACACATACACAATTTGAACAAATGTGCAAAACCCACACCGTGAAGAAAAAACTCATCTCAGTGATGTATACAACAATTACAAAGACAGAACCCCACCACCCACCGGTGTTCACTTTGTCATGGGAAAAAGAACTAAACATCTCACTCACACCTGAAACATGGCGTACTATCTTTAAACAAATTCACAGATCAGCTAGAAACACCACAATCCAGGAGAGTAACTACAAAAGAATAGCGAGATGGCATTATACCCCGACAAAGCTAAAATCCCTCTTTCCCTCCCACTCACCCCACTGCTGGAGATGCCATGGAACGCTGTTCCTGCAGACACTCAGCGCCCCCTGTCTCACCTCTTGCCCCTGTCATGGGGGGGGGAGAGGTGATGGATCCCCCCCTCTCTCCAGCTCAGCCGCGGCGAGGGAGCTGTCTGCTCTCTGCTCTCTCTCGCCGCGCGCTGATGCCGGAAGCCGGAATATGATGTCATATTCCAGCTCCCAGCTACTTTAGACAGCCCGCGCAGCGAGAGGGAGCAGAGAACAGACAGCTCCCTGGCCACGGCCGAGCTGGAGAGAGGCGACCGCCCCACTCGACCGCAGGGACAAGTCCACGCCGGCACTCCAGGTAGGAGGCTGGGTGGACATTTTTTTTATTACAATATAATAATTTGTTATTGTGAGTGTGTCTGTGTGTGAGTGTGTGTGTCTGTGTGTGAGTGTGTCTGTGTGTGTGTGTGTGTCTGTGAGTGTGTGTGAGTGTGTCTGTGAGTGTGTGTGTCTGTGTGTGAGTGTGTCTATGTGTGAGTGTGTCTGCGTGTGTGTGTGTCTGTCTGTGTGTGAGTGAGTGTGTGTCTGTGAAGGTGTGTCTGTGAGTGTTTGTGTGTGTGTGAGTGTGTCTGTGTGTGAGTGTGTGTGTGTGTGTGTGGGAGTGTGTGTGTGTGTGTCTGTGTGTGTGTGAGTGAGTGTGTGTATGTGTGAGTGTGTCTGTGTGTGTGTGTGTCTGTCTGTATGTGTGTGTGTGTGTGTGTGTGTGTGTGTGTGTGTCTGTGAAGTTGTGTCTGTGAGTGTTTGTGTGTGTGTGTGTATGTGTGTGTGTCTGTGTGTGTCTGTGTGTGTGTGTCTGTTTGTGTGTGTGTGAGTGTCTGTGTGTGAGTGTGTCTGTGTGTGTGTCTGTCTGTATGTGTGTGTGTGTGTGTCTGTGTGTAAGTGAGTGTGTGTCTGTGAAGGTGTGTTTGTGAGTGTTTGTGTGTGTGTGTCTGTGTGTGAGTGTGTCAGTGTGTGAGTGTGTGTGTCTGTGTGTGAGTGTGTGTCTGTGAATGTGTGTCTGTGAGTGTATGTGTGTGTGTGTCTGTGAGTGTATGTGTGTGTGAGTGTGTCTGTGTGTGTGAGTGTATGTATGTGTGTGTGTGTGTGTCTGAATGTGTCTGTGAGTGTGTGTGTGTGTACGCATATATATATATATATATACACACACACACGCAGAGCCGGCGCTATCTGAGTGCCGGCTCTGCTCTAAGCTTCCATGGGCCGGCGGGGAGACCAAAGATCTACCTCACCTGCCCACAGCAGCATGGAGGGAGGCAGGAGAGGACCCAGGGAGCTCTAGACAGAAGCTCCGCCAGGTTCCTCTCGCGATATCTGAGCGTTGCTGCAGCAACGCTCAGATCTCTCTCGAGTGAACTCTAGCCCCGCAGGCTAGAGTTCACTCTCTACTGGACCATCAGGGATGGCACATGGCAGCAAGGATTTACTAATCTGCCAAATCCCTCCAAACATACAGCACACACACATACAGCACCTACACACATACAGCTCACACACACACAGTACACTAACCGCACCCTCACAAACACACACAGCACCTTTAAAAAAAACACAACACCCTCACACACAGCACACTAACAGCACCCTCACAAACACACACACACACACAAACAGCACCCTCAGAAATACACGACACTCACACAAACAGCACCCTCACATGACAAACATACACACACAAACACCCTTACACACAAACAGCACAGTCACAAACACACACCCACACAAACACCCTCACATCACGCTAACAGCACCCTCACACACACATCACACTAACAGCACACAGCACACTAACAGCACACAGCACACTAACAGCACACACAGCAGTGTATGTGTGTGTGTGTGTGTGTGTGTATAAATATATATATATATATATATGTATGCACATATATATATATATATATATATATATATATAGATACATACACACACACACACACACACACACACATGCGCGGCGTGTGTTTGTTCTTTAGGGTGCACACCCTAATGCAATAGGCTGCGCACGCCTATGGGAATATGATACAAACCGCATTAATTATTTTTTAAATAGCCGAACCAATATGCACAAAAGTTATTACAGTGAAACTTGAAATGAATGACATGTGAACTGAGGATTGTATGAGTATCATTCGTATAGCTGAAATTACTTACGATTGAAGTTGTAACTTGCCGAAAGAGATCTGTTCGTATGTTTTTACTTACAAATTGAGCCGAAAGTTTTTACTTACAAATTGAGCTGAAAGTTTCCCTATGAACGCTGTGTTCGTGTAAGTGTGTTGGAGCGGAATGACGTCAGAGGTCTGCGCGAACCGGAAGAGGGAACCGGAACTTCCGAAATCGGCAACGACAGGTAAGCAGGGGTTACTGGGTTTAAATAGGCCAAATAATCCCTCCCACAATATCAGGCATACGCCTTCCACACATAACGTTTAACCCCAGGGGGAGTACGTGTTGTGTGCAACAACAAAAAAACTGATGTTTAGTTATGGGCCCTGGGGTGGAGCATTTGGAGAGCAGGGTGTTTTTTTGGGAGACATAAGTCCAGACCAGGTATTCGGGCTGTCTCCAACCTATTGCTCAGCTGGAGGAAATCAGATACAGCAGTGGGAATAAACCCCCTCCCTGCTAGGCAGGGAGGGGGATTGCTGGTTTCCTCCCTGGAAGCAGATAGGAGAGACTCTGTTCTCTCCTGTGAGAAAGTTGGAAAGTAGCAGGCTGGCTTGGAGCACTGGAAGTGCAGAGAGTCAAGGTGACTGAACACTGGGCTGCAGGAGAAGTTTACAATCAAGATGACTGAGCACTGGAGTGCAGGAAAAGTTATTATTATTATCGCCATTTATATAGCGCCAACAGATTCCGTAGCGCTTTACAATATTATGATAGGACAATTACATTGTAAATTATAAATAGGACAATTACAAAAAAACTTACAGGAACAATCGGTTGAAGAGGACACTGCTCAAATGAGCTTACAGTCTATAGGAGGTGGGGTTTAAAACACAATAGGACAGGAAATAGCAATCAAATAAGGTTGGAGTGAAGCAGAGCTGGAGGAGAGAGTAGAGTTCTGCCCTTTAGGAGAGAGCAAGTATGGAAGGTAGAGGTTACTCTGGGAGGCCGTAAGCTTTCCTAAAGAGATGGATTTTAAGGCACTACTTAAAGGATTGAAGACTAGGGGTGAGCCTGATGGCGGTAGGCAGGCTATTCCATAGGAGGGGAGCCACCTGCGAGAAGTCCTACAAGCATGAGTTGGCTGTACGGGTGCAAACAACAGACAGAAGAAGGTCATGGGCAGAGCGGAGAGACCAAGAAGGCGCATACGTATGGATCTGTAAAGAGATATAAGAGGGGCTAGAATTGTTCAGTGCTTTATAGGTGTGAAATTAGTACCTTGAATTGACTCCTATAGTATAAAGGAAGCCAATGTAAGGACTGAGAGAGGGGTGAGGTGTGAGAGAACCGACTAAAGAGGAAAATCAGTCTGGCGGCGGCATTCATTACAGATTGTAGCGGTGCATTATGGCTTTTGGGAAGACCAATCAGGAGAGGGTTGCAATAATCCATGCGGGAAATTACTACAGCATGGACAAGCTCATTGGTAGCACCTTGCGTAAGAAAGGGGCAGATGCGGGCTATGTTTTTAAGATGGCATATACAGGATTTAGCAACACACTGGATGTGAGGCTCAAAGGTTATGCCAGAATCAAGTATGACGCCAAGACAGCGCGCTTGCAAGGATGGACTTATGTGGATACCACTAACTTGAAGGGAGAGCAAAAGAGGAGAATCATTATTAGGAGGAGGAAAGACAAGTAGCTCAGTTTTAGAGAGATTGAGTTTCAGAAAGTGGGAGGACATCCAGTCAGAGATGGAAGAAAGGCAAGCAGTAACACGTTGCAGGACAGCAGGAGAGAGGTCCGGGGACAAGAGATATATCTGGGTGTCATCAGCGTACAGGTGGTAGTGGAATCCAAAAGAGGTAATAAGTAGAGTTGCGCAAACCCGGACTGTAAAGCTCGGGTTGTACCGAAAAAATATGTTTTTGGGACCTGAACACAGACATATCAGTGTATGTTCGGGTTGGAGTTCGGGTTGGACTCGTGTGCCCTTAGAAGCCAACACAGCCATGCCTACTAATGGCATGGCTGTGATTGGCCACTGCAGCATGTGACCCAGCCTCTATATATAAGCTGGAGTCGCGAAGCGCCGCACGCACATGAGCTCTTATTAGTGTAGGGAGAGGATGCTGCAGCTGTTAGGGACAGATTAGGAAAGAATTCTGGTGTTGAATCTGCAAACTACAGCGATTATTCAAACTACAGCGATTATTATTGTGGGTGCTATAATACTACATTTTTGTACCCTGCCCTGAGCCCAGTGCCACAGAGAGTGCAGTGCACTTGCAACTGCATGTGTGCCAGGCTCATTACTTTAATCCTGTTCTGGTAGCTCAGTGGGCAACATCTAGGCATTTTTAAATACTGCAATTGTTTTGGTGCTAAATAGTACATTTGTGTACTGCATTTCTTGCAGTCCAATAAAATGCTTAAATACTACTGTTACATTGTTGGTGCTAAATAGTACATTTGCGGCCTGTGGTGCACTTCATATCTGAGAGTCAAATTGAACCGTCAAATACTGTGATTACAGCGCATTTTTAAAAATTCTATTTTTTTTTGGTGCTAAATAGTACATTTGGTGCCTGCACTTCATATCAGAGAGTCAAATAAAACTGTCAAAAATTGTGCTTACATTGCAGTTGAAAAAATTCAAATTCGGGGGCGTGGCCAGCTGTCTAACGAGGAAGACGCGTTCTCGTGCAGCTCCGATATAGAGACTCAAAATAGAGACCAGAAACCCGCAAACGGGACCCTCCAAACACAACAAATACAGCCCCCACACAGTAATGGACATGGGGCGAAAAAACAAGAAATTCCGCCTTCCGGAACCGGAAGCCAAAATGACGCCTGCCGCACCCAGTGAGGAGGAAGCCTCGGATGACTCCCAGGAGGGCAGAGACTGCCCCACCTCATCTCAGGCAGAAGACGGAGCCCAGTGTCAGGCATCTGAATCTGAGGAAGACTCATGCCCAGTCACAAAGAGGGATATTAGAGATCTCCTAGAGGAAAAGAGGGGGGTGTGGAGGGTAGACTTGCAGACCACAAGGAAGGAGATTGGGGTCATACAAAGAGGCTCACCGAAGTTGAAGCCAGAGAAAGCGCCAGAGACGCCCAGCAACAGATCTCCAGTGACGCTGTGCAGGATCTACGCTCACAGCTCAAGAGGACGGTCACAACGCTGTAGGTCCACCACAGAAGGTGAAACATTCGCATCAGAGGCATACCAGAGACCGTTTGGGAAGAAGCCCCGTTGAGGTACATATCCCGCCTTATCACCAGAATGGAAATAAGGTTGCACACCAAACCAGACAAAATAGTAACCACATTTAGAATACGCAAAGCCGCCACAGCGCCAGCAGAATCCCCAAGAGTAATGAAGGGAGACCGGACATTCACACTCACCTCCGTGGACGACCAGGCACAATTTCTCCACCAGCTGAGAAAGCAAGAGGCGGAAAATAACGAACCCAGAGAAGCCAACACTTGGAAGAAAAGATGCACACAGGGCAAACCAGGGCCCACAAAGAGTCACCACACTTCAGCATCACTGAGGAGACAAACCTTTACCTGAGCGGCATACCACAGCACTCACTCAGAGGACCACCAAATCCCAGGTGATGGCGAGTATATACGCAACACCACACTGATAGGGAAAACCATCAACCATGTTATATGCCCCAGAAATCTAATTCCAGATGTTATACCATTTTAGCTAAAGCTAGAGAATTTCATCTCCCTAATGTTTAGCTTACAGAGAGCATAATGTTGGAGACCCCACAAACACCCATAAAAATTAGACTGTCTGCATTAATACAGGCCTGAGACGAGGCGTAACAAAGGGTCACAAGGGACCTGACAATAGACGCTTTACCAACGATGCCACGGACTAACTCTTACAGAAACGTTGCTTTGTTGCTTTTTACATTTCCCATAATATGACACTGTTGTATTTTGAGTACTAAACCTCTAATAAAATACAAATTATAAAAATAAAAAAAATTCAAATTCTTTAGGTGCTAAAAAGTAAATTTGTGGCGTGCACTTCATATCTGAGAGTCAAATAGAACTGTCAAATAATGTGCTTACATTGCAGTTTTAAAAATTCAAATTCTTTAGGTGCGAAAAAGTAAATTTGGGGCCTGCACTTCATATCTGAGAGTCAAATAGAAGCGTCAAATACTGTGCTTATATTGCAGTTTTAAAAATTCTAATTCTTTAGGTGCTAAAAAGTCAATTTGGTGCCTGCACTTCATATCTGAGAGTGAAATAGAACCGTCAAATACTGTGCTTACATTGCGGTTTTAAACATTCAAATTCTTTAGGTGCTAAAAAGTAAATTTGGGGCGTGCACTTCATATCTGAGAGTCAAATAGAACCGTCAAATACTGTGCTTACAGCACAGTTTTAAACATTCACATTTTTTTGCTGTTAAATAGTACATTTGAGGCCTGCGATGCACTTCACATCTGAGAGTCAAATAGAGCCATCAAATACTGTGGTTACAGCGCATTTTTAAACATTCTAATTGTTTTGGTGCTAAATAGTACATTTGGTGTGAGCACTTCATATCTTAGAGTCAAATAGAACCATCAAATACTGTGCTTACAGCACAATTTAAAAAATTCTAATTTTTTAGGTGCTAAAAAATAAATTTGGTGCCTGCACTTCATATCTGAGAGTCAAATAGAACCGTCAAATACTGCTGTGACATAGCAATTTTAAACGTTCACATTTTTTTGCTGCTAAATAGTACATTTGCGGCGTGCGGTGCACTTCATATCTGAGAGTCAAATAGAACCGTCAAATACTGTACTTACAGCACATTTTTAAA